TTTTCTTGCTGCAATAGGTCTGAATTGTGTTTTTTCTTTTTATTTAGGATCTAAGCTTAAATCGTCGGCATAAAAAATTTGTGTTGAAGAACATCAATTTTCGTCTCAGTAGCACTTTAACTTCCCGTATTTTTGTAGCGTTAAGCTATCAAAAATCCTTTCAGCAGTCAACTTGAATGTGAATGAGGGCAGGGTCGCACTGAAACAAATTAAAATGTTTTCCAATTTTTCGTAAACCAAAAATTCTCACTTTTCAAATTTTGGGGGCGGTCCCATTAAACTATTATCCATCGACCTGATCTATTCATACGTAAATCACATAGCCATTTTGCTCTAAAAACAGATAGAAAAAAAATATCGCCCGAATTGTTGCGGAAGAACTGATCCTTTTTTCCTGCGGATCAATTTTTTAGTTTTGGTTGACTCTTTCGCTACTTGTGTTGGCTTTGACATTTGCAACAGAAGGAAGATTTTTCGTTAAAGCCGTAATAATGTATCTGAATTGTTGCAAGTATAGCCTTGCCGGATCAACGTTACTATAAGTAGTGTCGGCCGACATGGCGATCGACATGGCGACCGACATGTCGACCGACATGTCGGTCGACAGTCGGTCGATAGTCGGTCGACAGTCGGTCGATAGTCGGTCGACAGTCGGTCGATAGTCGGTTGATAGTCGGTCGACATTCGGTCGATAGTCGGTCGATAGTCGGAAAATAGTCGGTCGACATGTCGGTCAATACGTCGACCGATATATGTCGGCCGATAGTCGGTCGACATATCGGTAGACAGTCGGGCGATATTTGACCGACACTTGGCTGACACTTGGCTGACACTCGGTCGACACTTGGCCGATGCTTCACCGATACTTCACTGACACTTAATAATATACCTGAAAGTTTATGCCTTCAAATCAAATTTTTATTCAAAAAATTCCAAAATTTGGAAGATGCCAAGGCAGGACATTGGGTTCTTTGAAGATTGGCGGAAATTTGGCGATTTACAAAAATTTGGCTTAGGAAGTTTTTCAAGTTAGTGGTAGCACTTATTTTACGCTAATAGCCCTTATCGCTTTTACGCCCACTGTACGAGAGCTCAGCGTACTTTGAAGTTTCGAAACGAGGCTATCGGGTCACACAGGTAAAACTTTCAAGTAAAATCAAAGCAAACGGCTACGTTTGGAGGCATTTTGATTCGTTTTCTTAAGGATACAGCGTGGTCTCGTCATGGTTAGACATTGTATTGCGTACGGGTGCAACAGTCTATTCAGTGAATCGGCAACTGACGAGATCCACAAGATTAGGATCGAAAACGCGGTCTTGCCAAACACGTTCAACTATCAAACTAGAGGTGAACAAAACGCACATTAAAAAACCTCTCAAATAAAGAAATTACAAACGACCAGATTAATTTACTGGCAAAAGGGCTCAAATTCACTCCAACACCCGCTACAAAACAAAAACAGATCAGTCAACAACTACTGTGTGACTTGGATTAGTTCGCAAGGAGAATGCGTCTGATTTACATATTCCGAGGGGAGGACAAAAAAACTCATCCCTGCCACGTCAAATCTACATGGATACCACCAATACAAAAAATCAGTAGCCCTTGAAAGCTATTTAGAAGAGGTTAAAAGTGACCTTTTATAAATAGAAATTACAAAGCCAAAAGATAATTTGCTTCCGGCCGAACGCAAGGCGCTCAGGGCCTTGAAACGTGACTCTGAGTTAAACCTCAAAAAGGCCG